TAAGTCCGAAATTATCAAAATATTGACAAAGAAAGAAATAATAGAAAGGAAAATTTGTTGATACTTTCTCACCTTCTTCGACTATTTTATTTCTGTACAATTTATACTGACGAAATGGGGCATGTAATCAGCTTCTCCATCATATTCCTCTTTTTTCTTTTTTTTTTTCTTTTTTTGGAGAATTGTCTCATCCAGTTAAAGAGAAAAAAAAAAAAAAAAAACCCTTTTATTTTTATATTGCGAGGGTTCCTTCACTAACTTGATTTCCGTCTGATGGGTCTGATAATTGGGATTTGGGTTTACTCACCGCACGAGAAAATCCATAACCAAGAGAACTTCCACTAGCTTCACTTAGCTGCAAGAGATCACACCAATTGTGTAATGGTAAGACTTAACAATTAGGATTTATATATGTTTAGTTAGTATGATCTGAGGGGGCTGGGGGGACGGGGGGAAAAAATGAAGAAAAGCATAAGTGATTTGTACCTCAGTGAGCTCTGAGAGGTGGCGGGACCTGAATTCATTGATTGTGGTTGCAATCTCGGACATAGGTAATTTGGCCTGCCCAGGAAAGCAGTAATCAGAAAACAAAACAATGGAAATAATAGGATCAACATGGAATTCTCTGCAGCGTTGATTATATAATTTGCTTTCTGCACACGGACATCCATATCACTTTCTAGCAATAAAAACCAACTTTGACAATCATCTCATTTACCAACCTGTGCAAGAACCGCAGCAGCCAACTGCAGACTTGGTTCCAAGCTCTCTGGCACAACCTAAGCTCAACAACAAAGAGGAAGATGGGATAAGTTCAAATAAACGGGGAGGGTTGAGAAACTTAAGACTTGAAGAGGCTATGAAGAAAAGGAACTCCAAAACAGGACATCAGATTATTACAGCAGTTGCCCCGGCTTTTTCCAAATTAAGGCCGTGATCAACGTCATGAGCACGAACAAAGGTCTTCACATTAGGGAAATACTTGCTCAGAGCCCAAACGGTTCGATAATTAGCACCAGGTGTATCCAAGGTTATTGCTGCAGCACATGCTCTGTCTGCACCAACTTTATGGAGGACCTACAGTCACCACGCATAAAGAATGTCAGATATTTGATCTACAAGCAAACTTACTTCACACAGTCATGCTTGTTTTCTTTACCTCTTTACTGCCAGCATCTCCAAAATAAACAGGAAGATCCATTGAACGGCCAATAGCCACTCTATCACTGAAAAAATGAGACCTTCTTGTTATTTTGGAAGCTCAAAAGATCTGATATACAAGGCATGCCTTTTTACCCCAAAACTCTTTAAAAACATAATTATGGACGGCACATAAATTCCTTTCAAGTTACCTCCTTATATCAAGAGCAACAAATGGAATTAAGCGTTCTGAAAGAAGCTGAGCTATGATCTGAAAACATCCAATATGAGAAAATTGCAACTATTATCAAAGACCAGTTAACAATAATATCATCACATAATGTTGTAAGATTAATTTTAAAATTCAAGCTGATATTGTTGTCACTCACCTGACCAACACGTCCAAATCCACATATGATGATATGATCTTGCAAGTCATCGGTCTAGAAATAAAATCAAGGAGATAGATTAGTTGAAACTATCACTAAAAGAATGTAACATTTGCAATCAAAATGGATTCATGCACTTGACAACTTACCTCACTCTCAACAGGTAACAGACTTCGAACATCATGCAGATCAAAACGAGAGGCAATTAGCTGGCCTCCAGCAGCTAGCCATGGTGTGAGGGCCATTGAGATCCCCACAACAAGAAAGAGCAAAGAGGATAGCTGAGAAGACATTATACCCTGCCAACAGCACAGATTAATGCTTGCACAACAAATGAACCATGTCATTAATAACATTTGCACCAGCACCATCACAAAAATAACAATAATCTATATTCCCTATAGATTCCATTTAATTTAGTGACAAATACACAATCAAAATTCTTTTTCAAGATCACCAAGAACAGACAGGAGACTACTAAAATATTAACAATGCATTCACTGTGTAAGAATTAATTTTTCTTATCACTATAAACCACTAAATAAAGCAAATGAGCAACTCCAAAAAGGAAAAAAGAATGTAGTGGATATGAAGTCGAACCTGATTAACAGCTTCACCAAAAGCCACAAAAGCAAATTCTCCACCAGGAGCAAGAAGAAGACCAACCCTAATTGCAGATATGATTGAAATACCAAAAAGTCTACCCACTAAGGCCACCAATACAGCCTTGCCACCAAGTAAGAGACCCAATGTCCCCGCGATGACAGGAAAATTTGAAACAAGTAGTTTTGGGTCAATGGACATTCCAACCTGAAACCATCAACATAAATGTCATCAATTTCAAATGTCTATTCCTTCTTCATCAACAAGCCAATATCAAGAGTCGTGAGAACAAAATACATATATTACACATTAAAACACGTATTATGCACTGCTCATGGTAAATAGTATAGTCAACATAATTGTTATTGTTGTTGCAGTTAATTGAAAATTAAAAGATGAAAGTTTCAACCATACATGGCTATCTTAAGGAATTATGTGATCAGAAAACAGAAAAATGGCAAGAATACAACATTCCAAACCATGAGTGTAAAATGGCATAGAATTGATTAAGCAGAGCAACAAGACATGACAGAAGTTGCTCAGGAGAGGAACCTTTTTTTTTTCTTTTTTTTTTCTAACTTTCCACCTTTTTCTGCACAGAAAAGCTCCTTAGAAGTTTATAATAGGGCATCTAAACCTTTTCTCTCCTTTTTCTGTGAAAAAAAGTACCTTAAAATTTATAATAGGGCAATATAAACCTTTTTGTGTAGTGGTTATCACGCCTTGTTATCTACTCACCAAACTATATGTTTGTCCTACTACTTTTGAAGATAAGAAATCATCCTTTTTGCCAAAAGAAAAGGAAAAACTTAACTCTGTGTACATATGCCTATCCTGTCCTACCTTCACAAAGATTGTGAGATATA